TGATGCAGCTGGTTCCAATGGTGGTGACAATCACTTTAAACAATACGTTGTGATGTTTTTCCAATAAAACATTCTTGTTAACAATGTTGAAATGTTACAAATGTTAAAGGCTTTTGTTGGGTTAGAGACCAGCACCGACCCCACAGTCAAAAAAATCGATTGGTGTTGGAGTAAAGAAACACTAACCAAAAAAAGACTAATTTTAGCTGAAAGCATGCAGGGACGTGTTTGTAGAAGACGGTTTGGACGTGAACAAGGCAGAATCTTTGGACACAAAACAAATATAAGCTGAAACAGAGTAAATAAACTTTTTGAAAGACATAATTTAATTTTGTAGAAACTAAAACTGAGACAAGTAAGAGAGACAGAACAAATAAGCAGCGCTTGTGCAGCAGCGGCAAAAGGAAAGGAGCTGCGAAGAAGAGAATGATTTGCACCCTCTTAGATGGCAAAAGGCATGAATGTTTTTCCCGTCCAGGAGCACAACACAAAAAGAGTTTGTTTGCAGAGTAAATTTAACAGCCAATCTGATCTGCAATGGGAGGCATGAACTCTGCTCAAACTGCAGTAAAGATTTCACAGTAAAAGTGCTTCATTTATCAGGATGTCACAGTTTAAATCTGTACATTTACATATTCACAAAGTAAACTTTCATTCTTCCTGAGAGAAGAAAGTCACAGACTTTTTTCCTTCTGTTTTATTCACCACAATTTACATCAACTGCTTTCTTCAAAGTCTGGATGCACATGATAATTTGATGATTCTGACTTTGCAAAGAGAAGCAATTTATTTGAAGGACCCTCCATGAGAAACAGATGGCTTATTTTCATCTGCTGAGCTGATCTCATTCATAAAAGGGCAACATTGGAATAAAAAGAAATGTCACAAACATCACTGTCGCTGTTCTGTTGTAATACTTTGCTGGTTTTCCTTTTTCTGTGTCTTCTTTGATCGCCCTGTCTGTGCGACTGTGTTATTGGTCTCTCTTTCTTTTTGTATTATTTTGGAGATCATTCCCATGTGTGTCTTCCTGCCTTTGGACTTCCTCCTTTTGTTCTCGTCTCGCCCTCGTTAGTGTCTGATTGAGTTCACCTTGCTCGGTCTAGATTTTGTCTGCGTGCTGTCAGTCAGCTCACTGAATTATCCACCACTTCTTCCCCGTGTCTGGTTCGCATGTTTCCTCTAACAAACTTTATTTTCCTTGTTTTTTGACAGAACTGGATTTCCTCAGTTTCACTGCAGCCGAATAAATGTGCTCATGCCAAATGTTGACTCCCAACCTCGTTAGAATTGTACAAATTCTGTTTTTGCTTTATATGGATTTCCTTGCACGTTTGCATATTTTAAATAAATTACACTAGAAAAACACAAAGACATGAGGAGTGGCTCGAGACTTTTGCGCAGTGCTGTATGCTATATGTACAGATCGTACAGTAAGAAAGAGACCTCGGCATTTGTGATGTGGATATTTCAGGTTTTTGCTAATATTAGGTGTGTTTGTAGAGGGTACTTACTCTCTCTCTTTCTCAGTGAGTCTGTCAGTGATGGTGTCCTTGATAGAAGAGCGTGAACCCTTGTGGATCACCGGATACCTAAGAGGGATCTGCAGGAAGCATGAGATCATGAGGACCAGGTGTGCTGTGTAACCCAAGGCGACTGCTATGCTCCCATCATCCTTTGCTGCAGGACACAAAGTGAAAAAGATGCTCTACTTATCACATATTTAAGGTTTGTTCACAAATGAGACGGTTTCCTGCTCAGTTGTTAAGTGCGCCTTTTAGTTATTATTACTTTGGTATATTATTATTATTATTATCATTATTATTATCATTATATACCAAAATAATAATAATAATAATTATAATTATAATAATAATAATATTATTATTATTATCATTATATACCAAAATAATAATAATAATAATAATAATAATAATAGTTAATAATATTATTATTATTATTATTATTATTATTATTATTATTATTATTATTATTATTATTATTATTATTATCATCATCATCATCATTATTATTATTGTATATAATGATAATAATTATAATTATAATATAATAATAATTGTAATAATTGTTATTATTATTATGGTATATAATGATGATGATAATAATGATAATAATAACAATTATAATAATAATAACAACAACAATTATAATTATTATAATAAACCAAAGTGTTTAAGAATCTCACTCAATGAAAACTGAGTCAAAATAGTAACATTTTGAAAACCTCAAAGCATACAGTCAATGTCAGTGCTGTTTGGAGTTTGTCTGCATCTTCTGACCCCCAAACTGTACGAACATCCAGCTAAAGATAACTTGGTAACAAAGTATTCGCTGGAAGGAGAGTAGTCGCATTCATGTTTTTAATGCGTTGCAGTAACATGGCACAGCACACAGTACCAAAAACACTGGCTGCGCTGAGATTCCCAAATTCTCTGTGATTTTAAGAAGCAAAAGCATCACGTACAGCTAACCCCTTCGAGTCCAAATATCTGTTAGTGTGGAAAACTGGATGCCTCCGTGAACATTTGACGGACTGGGAAAGAAACTGCAAACCAACTCACTGTAAGCACGAGAAATTGTTTCAAGACGAAACACAAAGTGGTTTCACATTCTCAGAAGGACACTGCTCGAGGCTAAGACTTAAAATCACTGTGGTTTTTATCTTAATGCTTTGAAATAATAGACCATGGCAACAGAGTGGTAGGCTCTTTGGCTCAAAGTGTGTGTTTTTCAACTTAGCACAGAACCCCTGGATTATATCACTGTCCTTCCTGTCTTTTTAGTCCAAAGGGTTAAAGCCCATGGAGAGAACAACTTCCTGCCCCCGAGGAATATCAGGTCAACTGAAGGACACAAGTTTAAGTGACACCTCTGGGTGCTAATGGAGCCTGCAGATACCTCGTGAGGCTGAGCTGACAGGGAAGGATTTGGGGTAAACGTGAAACATGGATGGGCTTCAATGTCCACCTTGACTCTCAACAGGATTAGGACGCCAACTAACCCTAATCCTGGGCTCTGATGTGAAATATTCCTCCCCTGCAGGCTTTTTCAAACCGGCTTTGACACACAATCAGACAACTCTGGACTCTGAGGACCTCTAACTGCAGAAGACTGAAGAGAAATGAAGAGAAATGAGTAAAGTGGAGGT